CCTGCACCTGGTCAAATTAATATTTGATGTTAAATGTAAATGAATCTGTTATGAATATAACTAATACGATAGAAGAATATGCCACTACGGTCATGCCACTAGGCCTTGCCTAGAATCCCCAAACCCAATCACGGTCACCAATAGAGCTATGAAAACTTTTTTTTACTATCAGAAACACCAAAAGGCAGTGCCAGTTTTACTTCGGATTTCTGTAAGGTGGACGTACTCTCAGAAATTAAGTCCTAGATGCCAAATATTTTGATATACACCGAAAAAGATTCTCTTTTTTTATGGTTGATTTTGAGCCAAAGGTTACTTACTCCTTTATGTTTCGTCTACAAATCACAGTCTCTATTGCAACAAAAACAAATGAAAGAAGTATCTTGTTACTTACTCGCAAAAGTTATAAAATTGGTCAGAAAGTTCTTTTTTGGAAGTCATTTGTGAAATGAAAACAGTAAAACAGTCACAACTACCTACTTCATAAAATAAGTTTCAGTAACTTTGATCAATAAGATGCTGCAATGCTGTTGTAGTAGATTTATCGCACATTTTCCAGCAATTAAGCGTTCATTGAACTACAAAACGGAACATTTAGGAAATCAAACATAAGAAGGAGCTCGATGCTCTGCAGCTAGGAGCGCAAGTGGTTCGGCGCGTTCGGCGGCGATCGTTGAAGTTGAGTAACTTTCGCAGTGGTCGGTCATTAGATGGGTGATCAAAAATCTTTTATGTCGAGTTTTTCCGTGCTTCGGAAGGCATGTTAAGTCGTTGGTCCCGGCTGCATCTGCAGACGATAGCACTGCACTGGATCCGTGTGGTGGGTCACTGCCCAATCTCCCTATTGCTTGTGCATGATGAAATCTTTGTGGCAAATTTGTTTCATAATTATCTACATAAAGGTATTAAGTATGACATTATAAAAATGCATTTGCTTTTCAGACGATTTTGTAGAAGTGTCCGAATAACCTACTTATCTCGCTTTCGTGCAATTTGTGGGAGTTATTACGTGAAATGGGACGGAAGTTAACTTAATGGAAGAGGAACTTGTTTCGAATAATAAGGTTTTGATCACCCATCCAATGACTGGCCACTGCGAAAGTTGCTTAACCTTTACGATCGCAGGCCATACGCGCTATCCCTATTCAGGATTAAAACCAATCCGATACCAAAGTTAGAAGTGTATTCCCTTGGTTTATTTGTGTGCTCTCAGCGTGCGTACCAGGAGCGCACGCGTCACTAGGAGCCGCCCGGCGCGTAAATCAGCGCGCGCCCGCCCATCCATCAAGCGGTGCGGGCCCATCAATATGGCGACCGAAATAGAAGCCATTCTCACCTACGGAATGCTTATGAAGGCTCAAGCAACGAGTGTGGATTGCTTACCAAATACGTGTGGATGAAACGGCGAGAGAAATACAACAAAGTCTGTTTAGTTTAGTGATTAGTAGTTTTTTTTTAAGTACAACTTCTTTACGCACTTTTGTCTTGGGGGTAAGCTGGCGAATGAGTTACGAGTTATGAAAAGTGTTTTATGGCGAGGCGAACGGGCGTGAAGTGGGGGATATAAGCAAAAGAAAGCAGTGTGCCCGCACATTTTCTTTCTCTCTTTCTTTTATAGCTAGTAAATGAAATATGTATATACACATACATGTATACATAGTACACACATATATGTATATATACATACAGATGGAGCTAAAGATGGTAGACGTTTTTGATACCAGAAATATCACTCGCGCCTTTGCCTACTCTGACCCAATCCTCTATCCCGTGGAGACCTGGAATCTTACGCACCGACAAAAACAAAAGGTAGTGTTTTATTCCTATGATCTGTAGCTGGTTCCCACTTTTCGGGTGTCCTATCCGTATATTAATCGGATGTCGGTGAATTTGTTCACACACACGATTAATAAAATCGGTTGTCAGTCACGGTTGAAGCTTTAGCCAATTTTAGGCACTCTACGCGAGGCGACTGTTCACGATGGACGTTGACAAAGTTCGTGTTGTGATGTTCCTATTATTGTTTAAGAAAACAAAGAAAGAGAGCCATGGAAAGTAAATATTAGTTGCACATATTCCTGAGGGAAAGATTTTATTTTGGGTAAATTTCAGAACTTAATAACAGAATTGAGAAGTGACGAAATTAAGTGTTTCAATTATTTTAGTATGTCAATATCAACATTCAATGATTTACTGACTCAAATATTAGTGAACATAAACAACCAAAATACAGGACGTGGAGACTGCATTTGTACTGAAAAAGGGTTGCGTTGCGAACGGAACAAGGGGAAGCGGGGGAGGATAGTCATCCCCGACACCCGACAAAAATGAACAGCGCCATTCTTACGCGTTGGCCCCGTAGATGGGCTAGGCTAAGCGCGGGTGCGGGTGACTTCTGCGGGCGCGGGTGATATGCCACGTACATTCAGTAGCGGCTACAGCGGTTGACTAAAGTGGACGTATTGAGGATGACTCTAACTAAAGTGATGCGTAGTTGCCTTGACAGCAGTTCGTATTTTATGACGAATACTATACTATACTTGTACCTACTTATTAGTAATTACGTATTATTATCTTATAAAACTTATTGTCCTGATCTTATTCATTTAATTACATAGTCTTTTAATTACATTTTTATACTTGTGTTGTGGATGCTTAGACATCCATATAGATGGTCGGTTTAATATTTGTGTAATAAATGCTTTGGTGTCCATAATAAAATGCTGCCGCTCGTGGATTCGTCTAAAAAATTTTGTCGCATGCTAGTCGTAGCATACTTCATACATTCTCATACATTTGTTTAATTAACCAACCGCCGCCGCCACCCGCAACCGCTCCTAGTCCGTCTCCGTGGCCAAGCACTTAATCATAGGCGAGCGAGTTTCGACACGATTTTTTTCCGGGCGTAGAGGGCTGGCAAAACACCCGATACTTCTTGTCGGAGCCGACACAAAATCGGTTTCCGATAAGTGTGAATAGCTTCATATATAATGCTCTGCCACGATAATTATTGTTTGATGCAAGATATTCTCACCTAGGGAATGCTTAAGTAGGCTTACAATCAGAGTGCGGCTTGCTTAAAAATTCAAAATTCAATTCAAAATTCAATATTGTTTATTGAGTTTGGCTGCTACAAGTACTTGTGAATGTCGAAAAGCTACGCCATCGGTTCGCAAATCTACGGCGGCAGACCTTGTACTGAAAAGAACCGGCAAAAACTGAGCAAGGGCTGTTTTTTTCTCCCTGTATTATATACAGAGTCGTCAAATTGAAAAATGACTTCAATATGAGGTAACTCATATCATAACGTATGGACGAAACGTCGAGAGAAACATGTGTAACTGTTTAATTTAGTGCATTGCTAGTATCGGAAAGGTCTTTAAGGAGATAGAAGTTCGGAAACAGCAATTTTTTCCGTATTCTTTGCACCTTATGCTGGCTGGCGCGTCACGTGGCCAATCGTGTTTGCTATGTGTTGGATTGGTAGCGATGTATCCATATCACGCTCTACTAAGGACAGTGAGAGGTAAGGACTGCTGTCGAGTTTGCGGGTGGCGGGTGCGATTGGCCATGTACCAGCATTACGGGCCGTGCCAGAACACCAGCGCTGCTGTGACACGTTTTGTGGCGTGTTGTGGCAGCATTCAGCATAATGCTCAATGCAGGGTCCTGATTACCCATAAATGATAATATAATTTATCTGTTTTTGTTTCTCTCCCTCTCTCAATTTCATGAACGTGATTAGGGCAATTATTGTTTGGCAGAAGACATTCTTATCTACGGAATGCTTAAGGGGAGCTCACGCAACAAGTGTGCTTACTTACGAAATACGTGTGGATGATAAAAAAACCATGAAAGACTGATCAGTGCCTTTCTTGTACCGCGTTGATCAATTAATCGTGGCAAAGGACAAAGAAATTCGGAGCCGCTTACATAAACATGTTAAGGATTTTTTTTTTATTTGATCAGGTAATAAAATCTAGGCTAGGCCATAAAAACCGGCTATGATGAAAGGGATTAAAGTCTAAACTTATAAGGAAGACTTAGATATTAGAATTTGAGAGATTTCGACTATTCAATTTAATGCTTGTCACAAAGTCATTCTATTGTTTTCGCCAAAAAAAGTGAAAAAAATGACAATATCATTGGCAGAATAATCGCGTAACAAACAGGTACAAAAACAGTTGAATTGGGAAAAAGGAGATGGCCTTTTTGAAGACTATTGAAAATGACAAGGTAAATGATAATGATGATGATTATAATGCAGATGTTTACATTCACACTTTCATGTTTCTGTGATAGCCTGACCTAAGTCACATAGTTGAAGATCTAAAGCGGTAATTTAGCTTTTAATAAGACGAAGGAACAAAATAACTGTACCTACCTTTGAATCCAAAGAAAATATTACTAGAAAAAAAAAACACGCGGACCAGGCAGCAGACGGGACTCAAACCCGCACACTTCGCTATCCGGGCGAATGCACTGACCAATTATGCTACCGCGGCCCTGATCGCCGTGTGTAAACTGTGTAAACAAACATGTTTAATTTAAGCTTTTTAATTTTACCTAAGGTATAAAATTGAACTTATTTCAATGATTTCAAAATGTTTTAAAAAGGTTTATCTCAAAATTCATTCTTCCTCTAATAAATTACAAAAAGGCAGTAAGTAAGTAATTAAATGATATGATGTTACTAACAAGCCAAAAACACGGTCTACATTAATAGGGCCCAACTTGTAGCTACCGAACCTACGGGGCAACCGTGTAATTACGAGCACCTAACGATACCTACAGCACACTAGAAGGCGGGGTTCAAGCACGATCAATACTACTCGACATTAAAACCGGCCGCCATCCTCCTCCCTCTCAACTCGTTTATTAGTAAGAGCGAGAGAGACGACGAACAGCCCTGCCATTCGCTAACGTGTTCCGCTTTGGGCGTACCCCGAGTTCCAGCGTCGGTGCCCGGTGCCCGGTGCGGACACGGTTCAGTCGGCATAGAACCGCGTGCCGCGCGCGTGTTTCGCCGCCGTTATGCGCTCCGGGTAGTGCCCAGCTACACAGCCACCATGCTCGTGCCCCCCGAGATGATGGCGGCCCAATCCAAGCTCGTCTACCAGATGAACAAGTACTACAACGAACGGGTCGCCAACAGGAAGGCGCAGATCGCCAAGACCATTCACGAGGTCTGCCGGATAGTGCAAGATGTACTCAAGGAGGTCGAGCTGCAAGAGCCCAGGTTCATATCTTCGCTCACGGATTACAACGGTCGGTTCGACGGCCTCGAAGTGGTGTCGCCGCACGAGTTTGAAATCGTAATCTACTTGAACCAGATGGGGGTTCTGAATTTCGTCGACGACGGTTCCCTTCCAGGATGCGCCGTCCTAAAGCTCAGCGACGGCCGCAAGCGCTCAATGTCCCTGTGGGTGGAGTTCATCACCGCCTCCGGATACCTGTCCGCGAGGAAGATCCGATCCCGGTTCCAGACGCTGGTCGCGCAGGCGTGCGACAAGTGCTCCTACAGAGATTGCGTCAAAATGATCGCAGAAACAACGGAGGTGAAATTGCGGATCCGGGAACGGTACATCGTGCAAATAACGCCGGCATTCAAATGCGCCGGCCTGTGGCCTCGGTCCGCGGCGCACTGGCCTCTGCCGGCCATCCCCTGGCCCCATCCGAACATAGTGGCCGAAGTGAAAACCGAAGGGTTCGATTTGTTGTCAAAAGAGTGTTTAGCGTTGCAAGGGAAGAACTCCGCTATGGAAGGTGACGCGTGGGTGTTAAGTTTCTTCGAGGCTGAAAACCGGTTGTTGCAAGGTGGCTGTCGGCGGAAATGTTTGAGTATATTGAAGACGATCAGGGACAGGCATTTGGACTTGCCAGGGAATCCAGTCACGTGCTATCACATGAAGACGTTACTTTTGTACGAATGCGAGAAGCACCCGCGGGAGCACGAGTGGGACGAGGGTGCAATAGGCGACAGGATAAACGGAATATTCCTGCAGCTGATATCTTCCCTGCAGTGCCGGCGGTGTCCGCACTACTTCCTACCGCACGTAGATTTGTTCAAAGGGAAATCCCCGACGGCGCTGGAGAACGCAGCGAAGCAAGTATGGAGGCTCACCAGGGAAATGCTCACCAATTCCAGGGCATTCGAGAAGTTGTGAACTGTAATGCTGCCGAGCAGTGCCAGTGGTGTACCGATAATGTAATCTACGAGTCATTTTCTGTAGGTTTAGGGGAGGAAGCATTTGTTTGTGTGCTTGAATCTAATAGGAAAGCTGTGGCAGCAGTGATTGATGTATTGCGAATGTTGAATGTGCAAAGTTAATTCCATTTGGATCGGACTGACTGTAAGTAGAAGTGATACTAGTACTAGGCTAGGACCCTCTCGAAATATAATTTTGTGATATAATGTAAATAGCTTAAATATCGTTGTACAATTTTAGTGATATATTTAATTTAAATCGATCTGTATTTATTTGACTGAAATCTTCTAAGTAGGCACACTACTTACCTATATTCTATAGTTATAATAAATAATATGAAATTGAAAAACCACTTTAATTTTCTGAAATATCCTAATTTTTACTTCAAGTAATTCAAAATATCTGTGGAAACGAACTTGACTCGCTAAAAGTTACATTTAGGCCTAAATCACGCAGCAGCGTCGTAAAGATCTTATATCTTCATCAGCTAATTGAATAATACTTTTTTTTATATTCCTAAATTAAAATGTAAAAATTTTTAGGAGTCCAAAATACGAAGTTATCATTAACTATTTATCTGAGAGAAAATTTTAAAGTATTTGATCTATCTATGTCTATCTCTATAACTAAATTAATAAATGAAGTATTCCAAATTCATGTCAGTAAATATGATAACGCATGTATTGGTAAAATTTAAATTATAGAGACATTTTTAAATTGTGAAGTCAATTAGTTTCAATGACGATGACTTTTAAAATTTTTCCCGAGTTATTAAACATTTTATACTCATAAATTCTGAGACATACATATTTATTTATATATATTTTTGAAACAGCAAACTTTATTGCATTCTATCAGACCCTTCTGCCCACGTCTTGGAAGGTCAACTAGCGAATGTGAACTTTATACTGCATTAAAATAAAGTCCAATTAAATATGAACACATCTCTTTGCCTCTACTTCCATATCATGTTACTAGACCATATTTTAAGAATTTGTGGGCCGTGCGCGCACCTCTCAGGCAATTCATTTACGATAGTAATCTACACCATTCTCGGATGTAAATGTATGAAAAACAATAATAAATGTCGAAGCACTTACCTACACTGGAACATATAATATTATAAAAGGGAAATGCGATACGCTCGTATGGTTAAAGGAGCTTTTGACATTTGCCTAAAGATATTCTAAGAGAAATCAACTAAAGGAATCCAAGGATGTTATTCAAATTACCTACACTAAAAGCTATTAGCATTCATACTCGTATAGATGTTCTCATATAATGACAGATTTATAAAAGTGTTATATAAATGAACTTAGAATAAAACGCCTATTAGGCATAACTGTAGCTAGTTTGTCGTTGAAGTCTTTTGGTGGACAATTGCAGGAAACGTTTTGGGCATAAATAATTGAACATTTTGCTATTTTATTTTTCAGTGTAAGTACCTAATAATAAATTACAGAAAAACCGCAAAATTCGAGTCGAACTAGCACAAACAGGGATTTGTACCAACGTAGGTCCGAAATTGAAAAATTTTGAAATATAACGATTGCTAAAGTCGAAAATCTTATAAAACTCGATATTCTCAAAATTCTGGTTCCTTTTTATTCTATGAGCTCCTATCATTTTACTTTATTACTCTTTTATTAAATAAAAATAAAAATGACTATTATAACGTCAGTAAAGCACGATTTATTTAATAGTAGATTATAATTAAACGTATCCGATCCTTTATAGGCTCCGTGGTTCTTAATTTTTTGGTATCTATTGTTTACTTATTACAGTTCATGAGATATAGCCACCGGCCATACGATGAACGGTGGATATATTATAGCTTAATAAGTTAGTACATGACGCTTAGCGCACAAATATTTCGTGAAAAAGATAGGTAATAACGTTCATTATTTTCCAGATAAAATTAAATAACAAAAACTTGACGTACCTACTCACAGTTACGTGTATAAATTAAATACATAAAATTAAAAAAATAGTATAAATCACCTAGAGTCTGTGCGGAAAGAGAATGGGATTTAGATTGGAGGGAGGCTCTTCTACCGTATTTGTAAGGTTTTACCCCTTTTAGACATGATTAAATAAAAAAACCGCAAGAAATCGCAACAACAAACAAATCCGTATCAATACAAAACTTTGACGTTTTACAGATTGCTGGGTTTGATTGCCAAATAAAAATCTTAATGTTAGTTCCGTTTTTCGCCACGCCCATTCTTTTTCCGCACAGACTCTATCACTTTCTAGGATTGGGGGCAAAAAAGTAACGCTACAGCTATTTTTCCTTTAAGACCTATCAATGGAACAGACATTTCATCACTATTTCCGTTACAAAATTTAGACCCCAGCAACTACAAATGTGTGATTACGATGTATATTAGTTATTGTTGAGCAGCAGTTTTATTAAGTAGCCGTTGGTGGCACGATCCTTTAAACCTAAACTTAAATTTGACAACAGTGTATCCCATGTCATTCTCTATACAGAATGAAAAGGAGAGACTGATTTTAAATTTAGTTTTAAGTTTTTAGAACCCTGCCAGAATCGTCACCATTGTGTTGTTTAATGACCCGAGAGTCAATTAATATTTAAGAGCGTAAAGCAATGCACAGAAGAAATAATAATAAATTTTTATTCAGAATTAAATTTTACATATAAGTGACTTAGATGATAGAAAAAACCCAAAAGGTAAAGAAAAATACAAAGCCTGAACTAGGAATATCCTTTGTTTCAGGCAAAAAGACCTTAACTACATTAAATAATCAAAAGCACAATAAAGCAGTAAAAAAACAAAAATGAAAAAAAAAACTACATAAAATTATATCTGTATGACAAGTGTAAATCGCTTGTTATATGCACATATAAAAAGCAGATAAAAAAAAATAAAAAATCAGTTTACCCTCAATATATGTGAGTAAACAAAAAAGGTTTTTAAGTAGTGGAATATTCGATCATTAGAATAAAACCTTGATTTTTTGATTTGATGATTACATACACATATTTCTACTTTGAAGCTTTTTCTGTAAAGCACTTCAAACGCAACATATTTATGTTACAATGACTAAACTAATAAAACAAGGCGGACGGTAATAACGCTGCCTTTAAATACTTATTAAATTATTTAGCGGTAAATGATCTCGATACAATCAAGCCAGATCGTAAATTGTACTTCAACTGGCTAACCTGATTAAAACGGCGAAAAGAGAACAATGAAATTTCGTTGTCCATGTCAAAGTTTGTTAAAGGCGTACTTTAGGACCAGAAGCTTGTTCAGACATGTAATAGGTATTTTCGGAGGAGACGCTTGTTCCTTAGTAATCTTGTTTAGTCATCAACTACCAATGTGGCATGCGCCTACACAACTCGTTTGTTTTAGCAGTTTTATGGCAACCCGTAGGCAGGGACGCACCAAAAAGATCCTCTGTTCAGTGCACTCTAAAAGCAAACTCGAATTTTTTATTTGACATGCGACATATTTCAAAAAACTCTGTGTGCTCAACCTCATTAAATGTCTATTGACTTAAATAAAAGTTAGCTGTTATAAACCAGTCCGCCTTTCTTCGGTACTTATAAAATTTTGAGTAGGAATATAAATAAAAAAATAAAAAAAATAAATGCGTGTAACTTATGTACGCGCGTGAGAAGTTATACTTCTTTAGCATCATTTAAAATATTTTTTAATTGAATGCAAATAATTAATAATTACAATAAAATAATAAAAGGACTGGAAAAGGATAGTTAACACAGTCAAATAAGTTCAGTTTTCATTTGAAAAATTAAATAAATATTCAAAATATTCAATTAAAATCACTACTAAATTTAAGTTATTAGTCCATATGTAATTAGCACTTGTAAGTAACTACGTTGTGTCTATAAACTAGAAACATGTGGATAAATATTATAAATATGAAAACAGTGATCAGAGGCGACGAGCGTGCCAACATTGTTTTTGACAACGCGATCATCTTATGGAGCTCCGTGGATCGTTCAAAGTACCTTTCGAACAGATGTCTAATAATGGTGGATTATTAACCACTAAGTGGTTAATAATCCTAGACACTAACATTCATAACACGCCCGCGGCCAACTTCATGCTGTTACTTTTGGGTTACAGTGATGCGCGCGCATCTAAAAATTTCACTCTCATCATTTTGTCATAACGCGCCTAAAGAAGTATAACTTCAATAACCATTTCTAACACTCACACCAATTAGCCTAGCCTCAAAGTAAGCACCGTAGACTTGTGTTATGGGATACTAGGTAACGGATAGAATACATATACTAATATATATATATAAGAATATTTATTTAGAAATACAGATTAAACATATGGATGACATGACTGGAGTATCAATGGTCGTATTCATCACACAAATATATGCTCTCACCGAGATTCGAACCGGGACCTTAGCCTGAAAGCCGGCTTATCTACCACTCAACCACGGAGGTCCTCCATATTAAGAATCTGATTAATATAAATTAAGAACATGAGCAGTCTGGATATTTGCTATCACAGTGCCCAGTTCATATTCACTCGTGGTTAATTAAAGTGAAAAGTTTTAGTTTGAAATACCTACAGAAACACACATGATCAATACCGGAGATTAAAGAGATATTGTATTGATATTGTAAAATATGGACAATATTTTAATAATATTGATTTTTGTAATTCACGTCCACTGACAGGTAGCGAAAAATAAATCCATTGAATTAGAGATAATTGTTCGTGTGACTCTGGGATATTAGTCATATAATTATTTTAGTGTAATCGGTGAGACCCGATGTATGTATATTTTTGTGTATGCATAGAAATGACGAATCATATTTTTCGTATTTTTAGCAGTGGGCTATAGAAAAAATAGTATTTTTTGTTTTCGAAATTTTTAAAATTTCGTGTATATTTTGGATATTAAATTGACATATTCATTAGTCACCTGAAGGTCAAAAAATATTTCGTCTTCATTAATGTCAAATTTTCAAGACTTTAAATTTTCAAGAATGGTTTTATAATTCTGACAAATAAACGCCACCTTCCTTCTCATAGTAATAATATCACTACTTACTAATTCACACACAGGAAAACGGTAACACACAAAAAAGCTACAATCACCCAAAACGGTACCATTACGTAACGTTAGACGGGGTGCTATTTATAATTTATTAACTTTGTTATGACAAATAACAGTTATAAATAACGTTATGGGCG